GGTCTTGTGATTCAAGGAACAGGACCTAACTTCTCTTCCTCTAATCAAACAGGCTTAACATTCCCTACAAATATAAACTAACAATAATATAACCCCTTTCCCAATGAAACTGAAAAAGGAAAACCTAGAGATATATGAACTGTTAAGGAATACAGAGGAGAGCAAACAAGTGTATGAATGTATGCAAGTGGAGAGGAGACAGAGAGAGAGAGAAGGTGAGAAAAGTTAAGGGATAACAAAACTGTAGGCCACTTCATTTTTTAAATGAAACAATTGTTTCTTTTAAAAGGGTAGAAACATTGTGCATGTTTCTTTACACTGATTGTCTATGTTCACCCATCAGTAAAATGGAGTACCTGGGTGTTAGTCAACTGATGTGAGTCACATCCTAGGACAAAAACTGACCTAATTTGCCCGAAATGCTCTGCATAACAAGCGGCTTTCTATATACATATAGTAGTATGTCATTGATGTCAGACGGCCGACTTGTTGAAAAAAAAAAAATATATATATATATATATACAGTGGACCCCGGTTAACGATATTTTTTCACTTCCAGAAGTATGTTCAGGTGCCAGTACTGACCGAATTTTTCCCATAAGGAATATTGTGAAGTAGATTAGTCCATTTCAGACCCCCAAACATACACGTACAAACGCACTTACATAAATACACTTACATAATTGGTCGCATTTGGAGGTGATCGTTATGCGGGGGTCCACTGTATATATATACAGTGGCCCCCCGCCTTATATAATTTCATTCCAGAAGTATGTTCAGGTGCCGTTACCGAACGAATTTGTTTCCGTAAGGAATATTGTGAATTAGATTAGTCCGTTTCAGACCCCCAAAAATACACGTACAAAAGCACTTACATAATTGGTCGCATTGGAAGCTGATCGTAAGGCGAGGGTCCACTGTATATACTTTATAAAACTTTTATAATTTCGCTATTCCAAATAGCCAACTTTATTCATACAATAGTCAAGCAACCCTTTTATGTTCAGGAATACAGTGGACCCCCGGTATTCGATGGCATCAGTATTTGATAAATCCGGTATTCGATGCATTTTAACGCAAAAATTTGCCTCGGTATCTGATCGAAAACCCAGTATTTGATGCGATTCGTACAAGACGTGTCCACGTGTGGCCTGAACTGCCCCCCGTGTGTGCGCATCTAAGGATACACTCGGTACATTCCATATTATCACTGTTTTTGGTGCTTGTTTCTGCAAAATAAGTCACCATGGGCCCCAAGAAAGCTCCTAGTGCCAACCCTGTGGTAAAAAGGGTGAGAATTAGTATGGAAATTAAGAAAGATTTTGAAGGGTTTGGGGCTAACCCTGAGAAGCCTATGGCAGTTGTGGAATCCACTGTGCCTACTTCAAAAATTAAGGATATGTGTACACAGTGGGTTGAACTGCAAACCTTTATGGATGAAAATCACCCTAACACAGCTATTGCAAGCCGTGCTGGTGACTATTACAATGACAATGTTGTGGCCCATTTTAGACAAATCGTAAAGGAACGGGAGGTACAGAGCTCTATGGACAGATTTGTTGTGCGACAGAGGTCCAGTGACTCTCAAGCTGGTCCTAGTGGCATTAAAAGAAGAAGGGAAGTAACCCTGGAAAAGGACTTGCTACCTCAAGTCCTAATGGAAGGGGATTCCCCTTCTAAACACTAACACCATCCACACTCTCCCCTCCTCCCATCCCATCAATCATCACCAGATCTTCATTAAAGGTAAGTGTCAATTATTCTCTTGTTATTGTAATTATTCTATTGCATTAAACTTAATATTTCATGTGGTAAAATATTTTTTTTCATACTTTTGGATGTCTTGCATGGAGTAATTTGATTTCCATTATTTCTTATGGGGAAAATTGATTCGCTTTTCGATATTTTCGGTATTCGATGAGCTCTCAGGAACGGATTAATATCGAATACTAGGGGTCCACTGTATTTAATTCATTTAGTGCAAAAAATTAATTATTGAAAGGGGTCAACACTAAGAATATTTGGTGACATTAATGAGTGAACTGGTATTACCTGATTATAAATTATCTCTTTTTAACGTTTTGAATATCTCTGGAAGACTGTGCATTAACCCTTTGACTGTTTCGGTCATATATATACGTCTTACGAGCCACTGTTTTTGAATTCTAGCGGCTTCAAATCAAGCAGGAAAAAGCTAGCAGGCCCACATGTGAGAGAATGGGCCTGTGTGGTCAGTGTGCACCATATAAAAAAAATCCTGCAGCACGCAGTGCATAATGAGAAAAAAAAAATTACTTGTTTTTAATTAAAATGCCGACTTTGTGGTCTATTTTCATATAGTATTCTCCTTTTCTTGGTCTCATTTGATAGAATGGAAAACATATTATAGAAATAGGGGTGATTTTGATTGGTTTTACTATGAAAAGAACCTTGAAATGGAGCTCAAAGTAGGGGAAATGTTTGATTTTCGCCAATGTTCAAAAGTAAACAAATGATGTCATTTTACAATAAATGTCAAAGTAGCCATTCTAATATGCAGTCATGAATGGGTTGACATTATTTATGCAATTATTACAATATTGCAGTAGTCTGCATAACAGTAAATCTTCTATTTTTTGTTTGAATAAAAATTCAAAATAGAAAGCAAGAGTAATATCAGAGGGGCCTGGAGACATGATTGATGAACAAAGAAAATGTTATTGTAGAGCCAGGAATGTCTGCATTGTTCATTCTGGACCCTATTTTGAAACTGTCATATTTTTTTAATTTTCATGAAATTGGCAAAATTGTAAATTTCTGACCACGTTATTGGGTAGTTGAAATCGGTAAATAGGCAGTTTCTTGTACTCAATCGATAGAAAAAATGAGTTCTAAAGAAATAGCTATGAGTTTGGTTGACTGGAACAATGGAATTAGCCGAAAATAGGGCTCAAAGTGGGTGAAATCGCCGATTCGTAAATATCGCGGAGGTCGCTAACTTCGCGAGAATGTAATTCCGTCAGTTTTCCATCAAATTTCATTCTTTTGGTGTCATTACAATCAAAAAAAGATTTTCTATCATTTCATAAGAAAAAAATTTTTTTTTTGGAGGGGGGGGGGGAATTGTGACACCAGGAGACACCTCAGGATTTGGGGTTGCAACAGTCAAGGGGTTAAGCTGACAGTAAAGGAAGTGAATTATTATCATTATTATATTTGAAGAGTATTACTAAACCTGTAAGGGTTGTACAGAACCTAGGAAATGGGAGGACAATTAGAGTTTAATCTGGGGAAGCAAGGAGTAGTTCCAATTCCTCAGATCAAGAATCCTTCACCAGCCTCAAGGATTGAAGGGTGAAGGATTCAAAGGAAACCAGATGTTAAGGATATAAGAAAGAGGAATATTTTAAGATTGACAAATGTTTTGACTCACAAGGTCATTCAGGGCTGTTGAAAGACATGGAAAATGATGACACGTTGAAATGCATCAACAAGTAATTAGTAAAATCCATCTCATCAAAGAAGGAAGTGATGTTGTGGGAACAGTACAAGAAGTGTTGCTAAGTCTTGAACAATTAAGTTTGGGATGAATAATAGCTTAAAGAATGTTCAGTAATATAATACAACATAAAGTGCAACAGGTCAACGCTGTTGCTGCTTAGCACTTAATTTGCCATAATATATAAAACTACTTCTCAATTGTACATGCCTTCAAAATTCTGTAAGTGCATCTTAAACAATGTGAATACATCTATCATGTTTTTTAGACAGAGCTTATAATCTTGGTTTATAAAGCAATTATCGTTTTAACAAAACATGCTCTGTAAATATGTTATTGCAAGACCCCCAAGAAAACCAGTCTGACTATCACATAATTAATATATTTTATATTCATATTAAGTAATACTAATTAAATTTAAGTTGAACTAAGATAAGTTGGGAAGGATTAACCTAAATTATATTACATTAATTTTAGCAAGAGTAGGTGAGGTTGCTTAGTTATTTATGAAACAAAATAAAAAATTTACACACCACATTTTTCCACAAAAATACATCTTTCACGCATAACATGAATTTATGAAAAATATCTGTTTGGCTCTGTGAGGAAGTGGAACAGAATTCTTCCTCTGTGAGCCAAGTATGTTGTAAGAGGTGACTAAAATGCCGGGAGCAAGGGATTGGTAACCCCTTCTCCTGCATAAAGTTAAGAGAAACTTTTGTTTTTCTTTATGGGCCACCATGTTTCGGTGGGATACGGCTGGTTTGCTGAAAGAAGATTTATGTTTGGACAGTTTTGCGTATTTGTCCAACTGCCCAAACAGCACAACTCCATTCAGAATCGCTGGAAACAGTCATCTACAAATGATGCAATAATGATAATGACTTACAGCTAAAATGGTGACCTAAGTTCAGAAGGAAAATATTTTTCTTTTACTATAGTATGTATATTGCATCAAGCGTATAAATAATGTGCACATAAATGGTGCCATGTATGTAAAAGTATACAAGTTTTGAATGCTGCAGTGAGAAGGCTGGAGGCAGAGAAGACATCATATTTGAAAACTTCATGCTCAAAATTTGGAGCATACCTGGTTACCTGGAGGTTACCTGGAGGTTATTCCAGGGATCAACGCCCCCGCGGCCCGGTCCATGACCAGGCCTCCCGATGGATAAGGGCCTGATCAACTAGGCTGTTACTGCTGGCCGCACACAGTCCAACGTACGAGCCACAGCCCGGCTGATCCGGCACTGACTTTAGGTATCTGTCCAGCTCTCTCTTGAAGGCAGCCAGGGGTTTATTGGCAATTCCCCTAATGCTTGATGGGAGGCTGTTGAACAGTTTTGGGCCCCGGACACTTATGGTGTTTTCTCTTAGTGGTACCAATGGCGCCCCTACTTTTTATTGGGGGCATTTTGCATCGCCTGCCGTCTTTTACTTTCGTAGGGAGTGATTTGTGTGTGCAGATTTGGGACCATTCCTTCCAAGAGTTTTCCAAGTGGATTATGATATATCTCTCCCTCCTGCGTTCCAACGAGTACAAGTCAAGTGCTTCCAAGCGTTCCCAGTAGCTAAGGTGCTTGACAGAACTTATACGTGCAGTAAAGGATCTCTGTACACTCTCTAGATCTGCGATTTCACCTGCTTTGAATGGAGATGTTAATGTACAGCAGTATTCCAGCCTAGAGACAACAAGTGATTTGAAAAGGATCATCATGGGCTTGGCATCTCTCGTTTTGAAAGTTCTCATTATCCATCTTATCATTTTCTTTGCATGTGCGATCGTGGCACTGTTGTAATCCTTGAAAGTGAGATCCTCAGACATTACTACTCCCAGGTCCCTTACATTATTTTTCCGTTCTATTGTATGGCCGGAGTCAGTAGTATACTCTGTTCTAGTTATTATCTCCTCCAGTTTTCCATAACGGAGTAGTTGGACATAAAAATAGTTGGGCATAAAAATTAAAAAAAAAAAAAAAAAAAAATGTGGGGCCATCAAGGGTTTAATTCAGAGGGCTAAGGAAAGGTTGAGGTGGTGTGGGAATATAGAGGGGATGGAGAGGGATAGGATGACAAAGGGATAGAAGGTTAAGTGGGGCAGAGATCGTCCCAGGAACAGTCGGAGGGGAAAGGTAAAGGAGATTTTGAATTTTAGGAGCTTGAGCATCCAGCAGGCTTGAGTGTTAAAAAGGAGTGAATGGTAACATTTGTGAAAGGATTCAAGGAAACCGATTAGCCAGACTTGAGAAGGGCAGCATCTGCAAAAGGAATCGAATGAATGATGGTGAATGCAATTCCTTCTTTGAATCACCCTGCCTTGGAGGGAGATGACTCGAGTTAAAAAAACAAGAGTGCACAACAAAAATGTGAAAGTATCAGAATGACCACAATTTTTCTGCATTATTACTCATCAGTACACAATATCTACAGGTGTGTGCCCCCTCACTTTATACCATATACACCGTGCATTCCAGGCTAATGGCAGCTGTATTAAGCTCAAGTCAGTCTGTCAACAATACTTCCACATAACAAGAATCATGAGTTCACTTTGTAGAGCACACCAATATCATATGGCGAATGTATATCGACAGAAGCGGTACATCGTGTAATAGCAAATTGACACCAAGTGAAAACAAATTGAACAAAGCAAGGAAAAAGTGTACCTGTAATTTCATACACATATACAGGTCACTATTAAATTTATTTCAAAGTTCCAAACGACATGAAGTTAAGAATTTAAATCAAGAATACTTGTGTGATTTGAACTAGTCTGAAGAGCTACAAAATGATTGTATAGGTGGATATACTCTCATCCATTTTAATGTATCATCTGTGTACACCGTTCTTTTCATGTTTACCAATGGACTGTCACGATCAAAATATAATATTGTAGTGACAAATGTATAAATTAGACATGTATAAGTTTGAAAATTTTTATTAGGATACATATCACTCACCAGGAGCTATTTCATTCCTAATAAAAATATCCAATGTTGCACACATCTAATTTCTACCTATTCTCATGCTAAAAAACTCCTCTGTCCTACATCCACTTTTTGAGCGAAGACTCATCTTAATGTGATCTACATGAAATACATCACAAAATATACATTGGGAACATTTACAAAACTTTCTTCATTTAATGGCACTTTATGAATGTTTAATGCCAATTATTTTTCTAAATTTTTAAAGTAAATCAAGAGTTTGCACTGATTATGAATAAGAGTCTAAAAAAAATACAATCTGTTTTTTTTTTACTACACAAGCCATCTCCTAACAAGGCAGGGTGACCCAAAGAAGAAAACACATTCACTATCATTCAACAGCTGCCTTGCCAAAAATACATGGGCATCAGAGTTCCAAGACTCTTCAAACTACCATAGTTCAACCCATTCTTCGATGCAAGTGCTGCACTGAGTTAAGTTGTCTCCTACTGAACGAATGGTGAATGCGTTTTTCTCTGAGTCCCATTAATCGGTGCGATGTGGCTGACGTGCTTAAAAACAATACAAGCAAGTCACTAGTTTTTTAAATAGAACTTTCTTACAGTGATAATTTTTCCCAATTTTTCCAAGTAATGTACATACTCAAAGAGCATACAGAAGAGATCATTGTACTGAGTGAAAAATACAAAATACAAAATTCTTAAGATAAAAGTTAAAGCCTTGATAATAACATCATTTACAATGGTCTTAGAATATAATTCCTATAATGACACACACAAACACTCATTCTTTCATGTGCAATAATGTACAACACTGTCCACTTCATTCATATAAAACAAAAGCTAATTTTAAAGATTTACAAAAAAATGACAGTAAACCTGTCTTTTTAATAAAATAACTAATAAAAACAATATTTTAAAAGATTATAAGGCAAATTTAATAAAGAAATACACATAATAAATATAAAAAAAAAGTATAGTTTTCAAAAGTGTTAAAAATATACTACAGGAAATTCCTTCAAAACCTATTATCAAATTTAAAAGCACTTTAATGAGTGATTGAGCTAATATTTACAAGCTAATTAATATATTAAAAGCACAGTTACAAGGGTAACTGCTCCTTTAAAACTAAATATTTGTTGTAATTTTGGCGTCTATTCTTCAATTGCTTCCAAAACTTTCATCTTGAAATACATCAATCTCCTGAAAAATAAAAATATGTACACTGCATTAAAAATGTATACTACTGAAAAATTTAGCAAAGAAAAGTAATACATATTGTATACAGGTGCTCCATGACTTACGACGATTTGATTTATGACATTTCGAATTTATGATGGTGCAAAAGCAATTATATATATGTACACGCATATAGATACACACCCCTCTGGGTTTTCTTCTATTTTCTTTCTAGTTCTTGTTTATTTCCTCTTATCTCCATGGGAAAGTGGAACAGAATTTTTCCTCCGGAAGCCATGCGTGTTGTTAGAGGCGACTAAAATGCCAGGAGCAAGGGCCTAGTAACCCCTTCTCCTGTATAAATTACTAAATTTAAAAAGAGAAACTTTAGTTTTTCTTTTTGGGCCACCCTGCCTTGGTGGGATATGGCCGGTTTGTTGAAAAAAAAATACAGTGGACCCCCAGTTAACGATATTTTTTCACTCCAGAAGTATGTTCAGGTGCCAGTACTGACCGAATTTGTTCCCATAAGGAATATTGAGAAGTAGATTAGTCCATTTCAGACCCCCAAACATACACGTCAAACGCACTTACATAAATACACTTACATAATTGGTCGCATTCGGAGGTGATTGTTATGCGGGGGTCCACTGTATATATATACAGTATATATATACACACAGTATACACTGAGTATACCAGGAAAAGTGTACGGTAGGGTTATAAATGAAAGAATTAGAGGTAAGACAGAATGTAGGATTGCGGATGAGCAAGGAGGTTTCAGAGTGGGTAGGGGATGTGTAGATCAAGTGTTTACATTGAAGCATATATGTGAACAGTATTTAGATAAAGGTAGGGAAGTTTTTATTGCATTTATGGATTTAGAAAAGGCATATGATAGAGTGGATAGAGGAGCAATGTGGCAGATGTTGCAAGTATATGGAATAGGTGGTAAGTTATTAAATGCTGTAAAGAGTTTTTATGAGGATAGTGAGGCTCAGGTTAGGGTGTGTAGAAGAGAGGGAGAATACTTCCCGGTAAAAACAGGTCTTAGACAGGGATGTGTAATGTCACCATGGTTGTTTAATATATTTATAGATGGGGTTGTAAAGGAAGTAAATGCTACGGTGTTCGGGAGAGGGGTGGGATTAAATTTTGGGGAATCAAATTCAAAATGGGAATTGACACAGTTACTTTTTGCTGATGATACTGTGCTTATGGGAGATTCTAAAGAAAAATTGCAAAGGTTAGTGGATGAGTTTGGGAATGTGTGTAAAGGTAGAAAGTTGAAAGTGAACATAGGAAAAGAGTAAGGTGATGAGGGTATCAAATGATTTAGATAAAGAAAAATTGGATATCAAATTGGGGAGGAGGAGTATGGAAGAAGTGAATGTTTTCAGATACTTGGGAGTTGACGTGTCGGCGGATGGATTTATGAAGGATGAGGTTAATCATAGAATTGATGAGGGAAAAAAGGTGAGTGGTGCGTTGAGGTATACGTGGAGTCAAAAAATGTTATCTATGGAGGCAAAGAAGGGAATGTATGAAAGTATAGTAGTACCAACACTCTTATATGGGTGTAAAGCTTGGGTGGTAAATGCAGCAGCGAGGAGACGGTTGGAGGCAGTGGAGATGTCCTGTTTAAGGGCAATGTGTGGTGTAAATATTATGCAGAAAATTCGGAGTGTGGAAATTAGGAAAAGGTGTGGAGTTAATAAAAGTATTAGTCAGAGGGCAGAAGAGGGGTTGTTGAGGTGGTTTGGTCATTTAGAGAGAATGGATCAAAGTAGAATGACATGGAAAGCATATAAATCAATAGGGGAAGGAAGGAGGGGTAGGGGTCGTCCTAGAAAAGGTTGGAGAGAGGGGATAAAGGAGGTTTTGTGGGCAAGAGGCTTGGACTTCCAACAAGCGTGTGTGAGCGTGTTAAATAGGAGTGAATGGAGACGAATGGTACTTGGGACCTGACCATCTGTTGGAGTGTGAGCAGGGTAATATTTAGTGAAGGGATTCAGGGAAACCGGTTATTTTCATATAGTTGGACTTGAGTCCTGGAAATGGGAAGTACAATGCCTGCACTTTAAAGGAGGGGTTTGGGATATTGGCAGTTTGGAGGGATATGTTGTGTATCTTTATATGTGTATGCTTCTAAACTGTTGTATTCTGAGCACCTCTGCAAAAACAGTGATAATGTGTGAGTGTGGTGAAAGTGTTGAATGATGAAAGTATTTTCTTTTTGGGATTTTCTTTCTTTTTTGGGTCACCCTGCCTCGGTGGGAGATGGCCGACTTGTTGAAAAAAAAAAAAAAATATACACACCCCTCTGGGTTTTCTTCTATTTTCTTACTAGTTCTTGTTCTTGTTTATTTCCCCTTATCTCCATGGAGAAGTGGAACAGAATTCTTCCTCCATGAGTCATGTGTATCATGGGAGGCAGCTAACATGCTGGGAGCAAAGGGCTAGTAATCCCTTTTCCTGTATACATTACTAAAGTTTAAAAGAGAAACATTTGTTTTCCTCTTTGGGCCACCCTGCCTCAGTGGGATATGGCCAGTTTGTTGAAAGAAGAAGATACTGGATCTATATAAATATAAAGAAAAGTCTAATATTACCAGCAGCCACTTATTTTTGGCCAAGGACAACAATGCATGGTAGGGAAATCCAGGAAATACCAGGGCTACTAGAAGTGCCTATATTAACATTCACCCACCTTGAAGCTAAGTCTAGAAGTGGAAGTGAATGAGCCTACTGAATAACATGTAAAACTACAAGTCAGCAAAGGTTTCAGTTCACATTTAAAAACATTTCTAACTGATTTTGGGATGCTGAATTCAAATCTGAACTTAAGTTTGCTCTGACATGTACTACTCTTGTTCCCAGAATCAAAATGAAGCTGAAAGGAAAGAGATTCGATGACATTCAAACCATCCAGAAAAATGTGAGAGAAGAGCTCAAAAAACTTAGTTGAAGACTTCCAGCATTGCTTCCAATAGTAACAGAAATGTTGGGACAAGTGTGTACAATTTGAGAAAGATTCCATTCATGACAACAAGTCATAAAAATACTATTTGTCTGCTATTCTTTAAAATAAAGGCAAAGTCTTACAACTTTTTGTTCACCCCCTCATATGTATTATCAGGTACCAGTACCTCTTTCCTTACACCAAAGCAGATTTAAAGTATTTTGTGGTTCTTTTGAGAACTGTATTCTTTCCGTAACTGAGCAGTTGGAATTTATTGAACGAAGACAAATTCCAACTGCTCAGAGAGAAAAACTGAAGCACTCAAACTAGTTTCCATGGGGCCTCTAGAAATGTTGCCCCCTTCCCAACAAATGTCCAGGACAAGTGTATAGGTATCCCTCATTTTCGTATAGTAGTAGATAAGTTCTAGGCTAATGGCAGCTATACTACGCTCAATCAGGTCATCAGCATTTAATTCCACAAATAAAGAAACTTCAATATGTATGCACAGATTGAATATGGCGAATTTATTTAGCATAAATGGAATTACTTGTAGGTAGTAGGTTGGTAGACAGCAACCGCCCAGGGAGGTACTACCGTCCTGCCAAGTGAGTGTAAAACGAAAGCCTGTAATTGTTTTACATGATGGTAGGATTGCTGGTGTCCTTTTTTCTGTCTCATGAACATGCAAGATTTCAGGTACGTCTTGCTACTTCTACTTACACTTAGGTCACACTACACATACATGTACAAGCACATATATACACACCCCTCTGGGTTTTCTTCTATTTTCTTTCTAGTTCTTATTCTTGTTTATTTCCTCTTATCTCCATGGGGAAGTGGAACAGAATTCTTCCTCCGTAAGCCATGCGTGTTGTAAGAGGCAACTAAAATGCCGGGAGCAAGGGGCTAGTAACCTCTTCTCCTGTATATATTACTAAATGTAAAAGGAGAAACTTTCGTTTTTCCTTTTGGGCCACCCCACCTCGGTGGGATACGGCCGGTGTGTTGAAAGAAAGAAAGAAAGAAATGGAATTACTGAAATGGGACATCACATAATTCAAAAGCAAATCTCTATGCAAATTCACAGAGTGAACTTGTTCAGTACATTATTAACTATTCTGGAAGAGGGAAGGGTGAAAAAGATTTTCAACAACACTGGATGATCACAAGTTTTTAGAGCCCCATTGTTTTACACATTCCATTTTTTTTATTATCTGTTCAGGTGCCAGATTGAACAAGACCACCAGATAATGTTGGAATCTAAATAATTGATTTTGGATATTCAGTGATCTAATGCATATACTGACTGCTAGATAATCAATGATTCACTATGTATATACTGTATTGTGTACAAGGACTTACATTCAAAAGATCCTTAAGAGCAGAGCAATTTGTACTCTGAATAAAAATATCCATAAGGTGGTTGAGCAACACTGATGCACTCCGGTCACATGTTAATTTCACCTGTAAGAAAATACATGTCTGAGTCTATTCTTTCTTAAACATACTGTGAACTAAAAATATAATGCACCAATGCAATGTTGTGGTATCAGGCTGTTGGGTAATTATCTCCAGAAATATTTATTCATCAGTATATAAGAGAGAAGTGAAAGTTTATAAATTAGAGAAGATAGTTAGGGAGAAAGATAGATTAGAGTATGAGTAATGAGAAAGGGTTAAAGGAGGTATGAGGTAGATTTAAAAATGCAGTGTTAGAATGTGCAGCAGAAGTTTGTGGGTATAGGAGGGAGAGTACAGGAATGAAGAGGAGTGATGAGGTAAAGGTGGTAATGGTAAGGGAGAAAAAGTTGGCATATGAAAGGTTTTAACAATGCAGAAGTTATATACTAAGGGAGGAATATATGGAGAGTAAAAGAGGTTAAAAGGATGGCAAGAGAGTGTAAAAGGAGAGGTAATGAGAGAGTGGGAGAGGTTTTATCAACAAATTTTTTGAGATAAAAAAAGTTTTGGAGTGAGATCGACAAGTGGAAAAAGCCTAGAGAATGAATAAATTTAACAATTGAAAACAAGAGAGAAGAGTCATTACATTGGGAGGTGGAGGTGCTGGGAGATGGAGGAAATATTTTGAGGAATTGCTGAATGATGAAGACAGGGAGGCAGTGATTTCTTGCAATGGGTAGAATGAAAAGGATTAATGAAAGAGAGAGGAAGATACCTAGACTTGCAAAGAGAATGCATAGTTCCTTCGTATGAAGAAAAATGGGGTGAAAGAGAGTGTAAGAATTATAGGCAAATAAGCCTGTTGAGTATACCAGATAAAATGTATAGTTGAGTTATTACTGAAAGAATTATGGGCAAGACAGTGGATTGCAAAGAAACAAGGAGGTTTTTAGAAAGGGTAGATGTGTAGACCAAGTGTTTACATTAAAGGATGTAAGTGAGCAATACTCAGATGAAGGTCAAGAACTTTTCATTGCATTTATGGACCTAGAAAAGGCATATGATAGGGTGGATAGGGGAGCAATGTGGCGATGTTGCAATGTATGGAGATTAGGAGGTGTGAAGTTGCCAAAAGTACTATTCAAAGGGCTGAGGAAGGGTTGTTGAAGAAGTTTGGACATTTAGCAAGACTGAAGAAGAATAGAATGACTACAAGGGAGTATAAATCTGAGGTGGAGAAAAGGAGAGGTAGGGGTCATCCTAGGAAAGGTGGGAGGGAGGGAGTAAAGAGGCTTGGACATTCAACAAGCTTGTGTTACACACTGTTGGAGTGAGAGCAAAGTAACATTTATGATGGCATTCAGGGAAACTGATTAGCTGGACTTGAGTCCATGAGGTGGGAAGTACAGCCTGCACTCTGAGGAAGGGGTGGACATGTTACAGTTTGGAGGGGCATCTGAAGTGTGATGTCATCGCTCTTCTGGCAAGACAGTAATTGAATGAGTTACAGTAAAAGTGTTTTCTTTTTTGCCAGGTCATCCTGCCTTGGTGAGAGATGGCAGGGATGTTAAAAAATTAATAAATTTAATGTTTTCAGATATTTGGGAGTTGACGTGTCAGCGGATGGATTTATGAAGGATGAGGTTAATCATAGAATTGATGAAGGAAAAAAGGTGAGTGGTGCATTGAGGTACATGTGGAGGCAAAAAATTTTATCTATGGAGGCAAAGAAGGGAATGTATGAAAGTATAGTAGTACCAACACTCTTATATGGGTGTGAAGCTTGGGTTGTAAATGCTGCAGCGAGGAGATGGTTGGAGGCAGTGGAGATGTCCTGTCTAAGAGCAAAGTGTGGTGTAAATATTATGCAGAAAATTCGGAGTGTGGAAATTAGGAGGTGTGGAGTTAATAAAAGTATTATAATGTCAGAGGGCTGAAGAGGGGTTGTTGAGGTGGTTTGGTCATTTAGAGAGAATGGATTGAAGTAGAATGACATGGAGAGCGTATAAATCTGCAGGGGAAGGAAGGCGGGGTAGGGGTCGTCCTCGAAAAGGTTGGAGGGTGGGGGTAAAGGAGGTGTTGTGGGCGAGGGGTTTGGACTTCCAGCAAGCGTGCATGAGCGTGTTAGATAGGAGTGAATGGAGACAAATGGTATTTGGGACCTGACGATCTGTTGGAGTGTGAGCAGGGTAATATTTAGTAAAAGGATTCAGGGAAACCGGGTATTTTATATAACCGGACTTGAGTCCTGGAAATGGGAAGTACAATGCCTGCACTCTAAAGGAAGGGTTTGGGATATTGGCAGTTTGGAGAGATATATTGTGTATTTTTATAAGTATATACTTCTAAGCTGTTGTATTCTGGGCACCTCTGCACAAACAGTGATTATGTGTGAGTGAGGTGAAAGTGTTGAATGATGATGAAAGTATTTTCTTTTTGGGAATTTTCTTTCTCTTTGGGTCACTCTGCCTCGGTGGGAGACGGCCGACTTGTTGAAAAAAAAAAAAAAAAATTGCAAAAAATATTCACCACAACTTACCTTGCCATCACCATTGAGCATGATGCAAGGCGTATACAACTGATGAAGATGCAGATATGAAGAAGGCAGATATATTGACTCCGAAGCAATACTATCCATATAAGAAAAAAACTCCCTGAGTTCAGTGATGCTCATCTCATCTTGGCTGCTATCCACAACTCTGAGAAAATGCCAAAATAATCATGATATCAACATGACAATGATAAAATAGTACCAGATAAATTTTTAAAGAGAGAATGTATTTACAAAGAGCAATGTGACCACAAATGCATTTGTGGTCACAGTGGTGCCTATGCTAACCTTCCTATGGTATAGAAATATACCTAGTTGGACGAATCTTATTGTGGCTAGTTGGTCCAGTGGCTAATGCGACGGTCTGGAGTTTTGAGACTCTCTGATCGCTGGTTCTATCCCCGCCCGTGGTATGGTTTGCTTGCAATCGTGTCATTACAATTTCGTGAGTCAGCAATGCAAGAGATCCAATCATTTAAAAAATTTCAATAATATATAAGATTAGCACTTCTGTCACAGTGCAGATCATCTAATGTTTCCATTTTACACCCATATGACAGGATGGTAGTACAGTACTTCCTTGGATGGCTGCCATTTACCTATGTACCAACCTACTAACCCTATCTCACTTTCCAGAATTACAGGATTGTCCCTCTTCTTCATGAAAATGGTTTCCTGAGATCTGCATCAAATGTGCCCTTGACTTCCAGTATTTTTTTTAACACACGGCCATTTCCCATAAAGGCAGGATGGCCCAAAAAAAAAAAAAAAAAACACTTTCACCATCATTCACTCCATCACTGTCCTGCCAGACTGGCACCGTACTCCAGTTCAAAACTGCAAATATTCCCACCTCTCCTTCAGAGTGCAGGCACCCCCACCTCCAGGATTGAAGTTCAACTAGTCATTTCCCTAAATCCCTACATAAATGTTACTTTGCTAACACTCCCAAAATTAGGTCTATAAAATGCTCTCTCTTCATTACAATTACTTGCACATTACATGATTTTTTCAGGGACCAAATAGGAGCATATGGTAAAGGTTCCCTGTGTACCAAACCAGTCAGTCATTACACCAATAACTCTCAAATGCTTAGCTTTCTAAGAAAAAACTTTTCACTGCATCAAATAATATCCCATCAAACTTCATACTTGCTCAATACTTGGAAATATAAACACATATGCAGTATAATGTGATCCTTTATTGACAACATTTTGCCCACACAGTGGGCTTTTTCAAGTCACAAACAGATCTACCTGGGGTGGAAGGTACATGAGTATTTATAGTCAGGTTCAGAATGCTGGGTCAGGTAGAGAATGCTGCATCTGATGATCTACCAAGTGGGGTTATAGAGTCTAAAATCTTGGGTAGCTTGGAAGGGAGACTGGATAAGTTTGTGAGCAGACCTTCTGCAGTGTTCCTCCATTCCTAAGTTCTTATGTGGGATAGCGATGAAGAAGTTCTTGGCAAGTGGTTCAGCTATGTTATAGAAGCCATTGTTCTGGTTGAAGTTGCTGGATATAGAGATAAGCGATGATTCCAGGATTCTTCGGTACTGAGTGTTGTCCTCTCTGGCGATAAGTCTTGAGTTTCTGTAGTTTATTAAATGGTTGTGTGAATTACGGTGTTGTACACAGGCATTTCTTGTATCGTTAGACCTGCTTGCGTACTGGTGTTCTGAAATACATGTTTGGAGGTCTTTTGATGTTTCACCCACGTCATTACAAGGGATTATGTATACCCCTGCAGAGGATGGAAGCTTGTCCTGTCTATTACTGGTAATGTCCCTGACTGTCGTGGTTGTGGAGGTAGATACTTGGAATGAGGTATTGGAAAAGATGTTGGAAACGTGTTTGGCAATGGAGTTGGTGGGGAGGACTATGTATCTCTTCTCGGCAGTGTCTTCTCTGGGTGTGTTGAAGATGATTAATGCCCTTCGTCTGCAGTCTCTGATGAAGTGATGAGGATAATGAAGTTTGGAAAATACATGTACTTGTTCAATTATAGTGCATTCTTCTTCAAGGAACTCATTGCTGCAGATTCTGAGTGAGCGCAGGAAAAAACAAATAAACGAACATATTATACTGCATCTTCTTCTTTCAACACACCGGCTGTATCCCACCAAGGCGGGGTGGCCCAAAAGGAAAAATGAAAGTTTCTCCTTTTACATTTAGTAATATATACAGGAGAATGGGTTACTAGCCCCTTGCTTCCGGCATTTTAGTCGCCTCTTACGACACGCATGGCTTACGGAGGAAGAATTCTGTTCCACTCTCCTATGGATATTATACTGCATATGTGTTTATATTTCCATTGTGTCGGTATTTTATACCATTTATTTCCATGCTTAATACTTTTCAGTCACCACCAGCTCCTCTTGATAAAAAAGTCAAAAGAAATTACTGTACAAAAGTTTGAGTAAGATATGTATAGTACACGAAATTAATGATATAGATGGAGAAAGACAATCACCAAGATGGAACATAAATAATGAGGAAGTATATCAGCGCAAATCATCAGTTTGGACATAATGAAGAAGGAAGATAGCTAATGAGGAAGAAGACAAGCAAGATGGGTAATAAATTAGAAGACAAGCAATTAAGAAAGAGTAGCATCAAGATGCAAATGGGAATTTTGTTCACAGAGGATGATGGAGTTCACAGGGTCATTTAAATTGTAATATCTACGCACTTATGGCAAGTGAATACAGTACAGGTCGGCCATCACTAATCCGGCAATCAGTTATCCAGTTCCATCAGTAATCCAGCACTAATTTCAGCTAGCATAATTTCAAATTTCATCATTATACTGACTCAGAAATTGTGCAGATGGTTGTAAATCCACAGCAGCAAGCCAGTGGAGGAGAAACCAGTTATGACAATGAGGATGATGTAGCAGAAAGTCTCTACTGGTAGGTTAATTAAATGTATTACCTAACCACTCGGTAATCTGGCAAACTCGCTAATCTGGCACACTACAGGTCCCAGTGATGCCAGATTAGTGATGGCCAACCTGTATTTCCTTTAAGTCACTTTGCCTTGGTGAAAATCAACTAATCGGTAAAGAAAACCGTCTGTCCATTTCTCTAATTAAGTACCAAGTAAGATTCCAGAGATTTACCAACCTTTCCCACACATGATGAATGTCCTTAAGAGTACTTTTTAACACTAATTTAGGCTTTCCTCTTGCATTAGGAGGAGAAAATTCTATTATTTTACTTGGTGGACGTATATAATATGTGAAGTGCATCTGATTCTCTGAAAAAAAAAAAAAAACTTGAATTACTGTCAGTAGAAAGAAAAAATAAAATATTAACAATATACTATAACACTGATCAAGTGAAAAACTGTAAAGTAGGAAATATCTATCATTTATTTAAAAAGATATGCTGCAATAAAGGAAAACCTGCCCACTCATTAACCCTTAAACTGCCGAAGGATCAAAAATAAATGTGCTCCCAATGCCAGAGATCTGAAAAAAAATTCCAAATAATTCTCCTTGATTTTAAATTTGAAATAAGACTAAAATGGGTGAAAGGTGATAGGTACTTACGTCGGTGGTTGTCAAATGGTAACATCCACTTGCTGCATGAGGCAATTACTTTTTTTTTTGTTTTTAATATTCATGTTATCTTTCTTTTTTTCCTAGTTATAATAGATCATATTTGTTATATCTATATTTATATATCACATTTTACTTATATTTATTGATCAGCAACACTAACACTTATATTTATTGTTAGGTAACACTAACACTAACTAAGCTCTATTCACTTGCTGAACAATACATATTTACTATTGTTGTTCATCCTTTTGCTGCATATATTCTATGTACATTATGTATGCACTGCTCACTTTGATATTAGAAACGGAGCTCGTGGAACTCCTTGAAACAGGGTTCCATGCAGAGTGATATTTCACAGGTTTTACACACACATCTGGTGTCCTGGTTCTCTTCAGCTCTTTTCGTCCTCATAACACAAACATAGCACCTCTTCTGGGCATATGTTAGGTAATGCTTATCAGGCCCCAGACGAGTGGGAATTTGACTGTTCATGCAGTAGTGGCCCAGGAGGTGTAATCTGGTATTTAATGGTGATTTGGCTGATGACAGCCATAGTGAAGTTCTTGTAGGTTGGTTTCTTGCCAGTCTTTATATGGTACACATTATATGCTTTGAGCATGGCAATATCGACAAGGTGGAAAAACAATTTGATTTACAACTTGAAATGCCTACACACAGTCCACAAAACCGACCTGCACATCACATTTGTCTACAAATGCATGTTGTTAGTATACTTAGTCACAGCAGCACTCATCCTCACTGCTTAGATCTTGGCCAGAACAACAAGAAAAACCTCAATTTCCACTTTATTGTTGTGGTTTGTTGCCGGCTGGGAGACCCCTGAGGTGGAAGGCATGCAACCATCAGCATTTGGGCCGTTTTAAGGGATGTTTCCAGTGTCGCTTTCACAAATGAGTACTGAACTCAAATAACTCCAAGTCCTTATCACTATCCTTAGTATTAGTGTCATCCGAAGAGTCAAGTAGACAGTTAATCCTCCTTGGAATAACCATTTCACAAAGATGCTATATGGTAATTAATGTAATGGCTTCCACTATCTCCCACAATGCCCCCCCCCCCCCACAAACACACACACACCACGATCTTTTTTATATTGTGTGAACACCCACAGCACAGACCCCATTTTTTTTTTGTTAACCAAACCCAGAAAAACACAGCCATTTTGGAGGTGCTAGAAGTTAGGCATAAAAAATTTTCTTGGAAAATTTTCCCCAAAGGGCAAAAAAACAAAATTTAAAAGGCTTTTTAAAGGGGTTTAAATTGTCTTTTAAAAACGAAAAAAATTAAAAAATTTCAAAACAGCTGTCTCATATGCGGGTTATATGACGGGAAAATTTTTTTTAAATTAAAAATTTTGGGCTAAAGATGTATGGTAAGGTCCTTTTTTAAAATTCCTTGCTCCAGGAAATTTTTTGGATTGTAACTCGGCCCCCAAAATTGGAAATAAGTCATTGTTTAACTTTTTATATTTACCCCAAGAAAAAAATCTAATACTGGAATTTTAGAAAGAAAAGGGTCGGGGGAAACCAAAACCTAGTCATTGTGGTTGCCTACAACCCTTTTCCGGATGCAACACCCAGCAATTCCAGGAACACTTTTAAAAATTGACCCTGTCTGGAAAACTTCCAGCTCCTGCACCCAAAAATCTTGGGTCCGGGGGGGATTTCAATTTAAGGCACCTAAAATGGAGGAAAAATAGCAAATAATATTTTTGGCGTAATAACACCAGGGGAGCTCTGTTAAAAACTCACACTCACACGAGCTTTTAAACCTGCACAAAATTAAATTTTAAAAACCCAGCAAATAATAGAGCCTACTAGACGGGAAAGAATAACTAGCCCTCATCTTCCTAACTGATGATCTGATAAGAAATTTTCACCATATCAAAAACAATATACTCAGATCAAACAAAATTTGGAGGTTTCAGCCCATGTATGCGGGGAGCCCCAGCCCGGGAAAAAAATGAGACTAGCACGAGGGGGGCATTCACCAAATTCAATTTCAATAAAAAAAACATAAAGGGGGGACCAAAAAAACCAAAGCCCTTTAACCGATATAAGCTGGGAAGATAAAATAAGCAACAAAAGCCCAAAATTTAGGGCCTAGAAAAGAAAAAAACTCGGTGGACCAGGGAAGACCCAAAAGGGGTTATTCCTTAAAAAAAAAGGAAAGGGTAGAATGTAAAATGGGAAAGAGACGGGCGCCCCCTTTTTACAGGCGAGGGGAAAAAAGAATAACAAGCGGCTAAAAAGAGGTCAATATATCTGAAAGGGCCCCGGGGAGCCCACTGGTCAGGGGAAAATAGCAAGCATAAAAATTTTTAGCAAAAAGAATCCTTTAGGAGCGGGGAATGCGGGGGGAAAACTAAAAAGCCAAAAATTGAAATCAAAAAGAAACCCAAAGTTTTTCTTCCCCTATCCAAATCAAAACCCGGGGAACAACGCCCAGTATTGGGCCCCTACTTAAAAAAAAAATTGGGCCCTTTCACAGTTTAAAACCCAAGGGAAAAGGGAGTGAGTTTACTCAAGCCCCAATAGATCTTTTTTAGAAACCCGTTAACCGACTGAAAAGTCGAAAAATCAAAATGAAATTTTTTATGAGGGGGCCCCACAAAATTTGATTAACACAACCCTATCCGATGTTTTCCTACCCCAAATAAATTTTCAACAGGGGGGAAAAATGACAGGCCCATGCACTCCCCCCCAAAAGGGCCAAAGATTTCATGGAACTCTGTGTTCATCAAGAACGAAGAAGCCCTATCGCGACCTTTTCCATCCTATGGAGAGGGGCATGGACAGGGGGGTCGCCCCCTTCAGTTACTAAAAACAACAGACTTTGCCCCACCCAAAAAGGGGGGCAAAAAGCAACAGCAAAGAACAAACAGCCCAAATAGCAAAAAATTTCCCATATCAAAAAAATTTCTTTGAAAGGGCCTAAGAAGCAAAAACCCCCCCCATCAAAAAACCCCAGTTAAAAACCCGGGGGCCCAACTTTGGGTTTTAGAACGGGTTTCGCCCCCTGTCTGCCCTTAAACTACTGGTTCCCCTACGACAAGGTCCTAAAGGGGAACTGGGAAGACAAAAAGAATGCAGATGTAATATATACAGACTTTTGCAAAACCCTTGGGGACAAGTGTGCCATGGCTAATAGCGCCCCAAAAATGCGCGCAAAAGGGGGGGAAAAAAACGGAAAAGTCGGTGGATGGATCTAAAATTTTTCCTCACTAAAAAACACAGAGAGTGGGCGTCAACAAGAAAAAGTCCGGGGGCGGGCTACGGTAAAAAACTCTTTTCCCCCAAAAGGGAAACATACTAGCTCCCATCTTGTTCCCACCCCTCATACCCGACATAGAAAGGATGTCAGCCACAGCACGGCCCTTCCTTTTGCAAAAATGACCCCCGAATCTGCATGACAGGGTCTTCCATGCAGACAGGGCAAGGCTCCAGGCGGACATAAACCAAAAATCTTTCAGGGGGCTGCGAAAACAATATGAAGTTCAACGTTGAGAAATTTAAATTTTAATCAGATATGGAAAAAAAATGGGGAAAAAAAAAATTTTCCCATCAGAGTCAAAAACAAATTCTGGCCCCCAAATTTAGAGCGAAAAAAACCAACTTTCAAAGCCCTTTGGGAGTGATTTGTCGGAGGATCTCCCTTCAAGGACCATAAAAATTGATAAATGCATCTGCTAAAAATGACGGAGGTAATGAAAACCCTTCAAAAAAGGGGGGGCCAAACCCCATGATGAACTTTTTCAGGTCACTTGTTCTATCTAGGCGGGGAATATTGCTGCACTCAAAACAGCACCTTTAAAGGGCAGGAAAAAATTCCCGCCCTAAAAAAATGTACGGGAGAACTTTCACGGCGGCTTAACGGAGAAAAAAACACCTCAATTACGGGGGAGCGTTGGGGTTTTTAAACCCTGTATTCCGGGAAAAGCAGGAGGGAGGATACATGTTTAAATATACCCCTGGAAAATCCAAGAGGGACAGACCGAACTTGCAAACCAAAATAAACCACTACAAAAGCAAAAGACTTTGGCAGACGATCCCACCACCCCCCCAATGAAAAGGGGGGGGTGTCACAAAAGCACTTAAAAGGAGACCTTTCAATAAGTTTTCAGGGCCCGGGGACTTTTTCAACTGCCTCCCAGCAAAAAAAGGGGGAATTACCAACAACCCCTGGCATTTCTTAAAGCTGGCACTGGAAAAGCACCAAATTTCCCAGTTCCTGATCGCCGGGCTGTGGCTCATTTGGGTTTTTGCGGGGCACCCAAGCACAACAGCCGGGTTGATCAGGCGCTGATAACCGGAGGCCTGGTCACAGCCCGGGCCGGGGGGGTTTTAAACCCCCCCCAAACCCCTCCAGGTAAAAATCCAGGTAAACTGTACTTTTAAAATTTCCCTTTGCATTTTTGTCCCCCGAAGGGCCCTTGTAAAACAAATGGCCTTTAAGGGATTCCTAACATACCACCATTTAAAATTTTACTGCCATATCAGTTTCTAAAAAAAATGGTAAAGAAAACTATACAATAACACACATGGTGATGGGGTTTATGTAATATTTTGTACATACGGGATAAATATTGCAGAAATATGGGTTTTCAGTATAGGGTAGATTATACAGAATTAAAAAAAAGGTGAGGGGGCCTTTTAAATTTTTTATTATTATTATATTTTATGAGGGGGAAAACTCCCAAACTTGTAGGTTTATACACATGGTTTGGAAAGGGAAAGTCCCAAATTTCCCTTTGGGAAAAAAAAGCCCCTCACCCAAACAAAAAGGGGCCCCCCTTAAGAGCCTTCGAATAATAACAAATTTAGATGATTTTATTTTTTAGCTCCCAAAGAGAATGATTTACAGCAAACAATAGGGAAAATATTAAAGCAAATATTTTCACATATATTTAGCTAAAACACCATAAAAACTATTACATTTTCATATTCCCCTAAAGCCAAAAAAATGCCCAAAATTTTATATGGCTGACAATAACCCGAAGGGAGCTGTGCCTTCTTCGGGGCCAGTACCCGTACTGCCCTTATTTTAACTGTCTTTTTTTATGAGTGGGACTGTTGGGAGTTCAAAGGTTTTTTCAAACTGTTATGCTTTTAGGAAAGAAAAGGCTATTTTTAAAAATGTGGGGAATGGTCTTCCCCTTTTTTTGGTCACTCTACCAAGTTGAATATGGCCAATATAAAAATAATATTTTTTTTATTTTACGGTTTTTATTACAACAGACTTTTCCCTTTTTTTTTAAAATTTTTTATATTTTCCATCAATTTTATATTTTACTTGTTTGGGGTTTTTTTCCCTCATGCAATATTTTTCATTATATGTATTTTATATGGATTTTCATGTACGCCAAAAAAAACTTTCAATGTTAAAATACTTTTTTCTGTGCATTATGGGCCTTTGAACAAAATTAAAATTTGGGGGCACTCGATTTTTATGCAAAGGCTTTTTCCTCTTTAAAAAAAGGGGGGAGTAGATGCAAAAAAGAAAGGAAGGCGCTCCCCTTACAGGCGACGGGAAAAAAAAAACAGAGGGCTAAAAGAGGGCAATATATCGAAAAAGCTAGGGAAGGGGGAAAACTGGTCAGAAAAAAATAGCAAACATCGAACTTTAAACTTAAAAGGAAAACTTTTTGGAGTCAGGAAAGCGGGGGGGAACTAAAAAAACCTTTAAAAAAAATCGAAAAAAACCCAAAAAATTTTTCTCCCATGCCAAATCAAAGTCGAGAACAAACCAAATATTGGGCCCCCACCCTTAAAAAAGATGGGTCCTACACAGTGACAGCAAGGAAAAAAGAGGGAGCTACTTTAAAATCCCCAAAAACTCAGTTGTTAGCAAGCTGCTAACCCCGACTGAGAGTCGAAGATTTAAAACCCAAAAATTTTTTAAAGAGAGAGCCACAAAATTTGGGTTTTTCACAAGCCTATCCGTGTTAATTTTGCGCCAAATGGGCTTCGAACAGGCGGATAAAATGGGCAAGCCCCTGCACTCTGCCCGGGGGCCAGGGCTCATGGAACTCCCGTTTTTTTCATCAAAAACTGCAAGAAGCCCCTATCCGAGCCTTTTTCCCTCCTATGGAAAAAGGGGGGGCCCCTGGACATGGGGGGTTTGTCCCACAGTTTTCTAAAAAAAAAACAGACATAGCCCCACTCCACCCAAAAGGGGGGAGTAAGCAAAAAGCAAAAAACTACAGACCGTAGCACTAAAATCCCCTATCATAAAAATCTTTTTAAAAAGGGCCCAAGAAACAAGACACCACCCATCTAGAAAAAACCCCTCAGTTACACAACCCGGGGGGAACCCTTTGGGGTTTTGACATTCCCCTCCCGTTTTGTCTCAACTTTGGATTCTACGAAAAAGGGCCTAAATCACTAGAAGATAAAAAAAAAAAAGAATGCTTTTTGCAATAAAATTTCCGACTTTGCAAAAGCCTCCCAAAGTGTGACAAAGGGGGTAATTTTGCGCCAAAAAATTTTTTGGGGTTAAAGGGATAAAGGAAAAGTCGGTCGATGGATCTATAATTTTCCCTCACTAACAGAACACAGAGGTAGTCATCAACAGAGTAAAGTTCCCAGGCAGCTATGGTGAAAAAGCTCTGTTTAAAAAGGGGACAGTATCGCTCCCATCTTGTTTCCCCCATCCCCCATATCCGACATAAAACAAGGATGTCAGCCACCCGCACCGTGTCTTCCTTTTCAGATGACACCCAAATCTGCATGACAGTGTCTTTAAATTGGGAGGGCACTGCAAGGCTCCAGGCGGAAAATCAAAACCCAATCTTTCAGTGGGCTGCAGAAAAAAATATGAAGTTCAACGATGAGAAATTTTAATTACTCAGATATGGTAAACACGAGGAAATTAAATCTTCATCAGAGTACAAAACAAATTCTGGCCACAAAATAGAGCGAAACACCAACATAAAAGACCTGGGAGTGATCATGTCGGAGGATCTCACCTTCAAGGACCATAACATTGTATCAATCACATCTGCTAGAAAAATGACAGGATGGATAATGAGAACCTTCAAAACTAGGGAGGCCAAGCCCATGATGACACTCTTCAGGTCACTTGTTCTATCTAGGCTGGAATATTGCTGCACACTAACAGCACCTTTCAAGGCAGGTGAAATTGCTCACCTAGAAAATGTACAGAGAACCTTCACGGCGCGCATAACGGAGATAAAACACCTCAATTACTGGGAGCGCTTGAGGTTCCTGAACCTGTATTCCCTGGAACGCAGGCGGGAGAGATACATGATTATATACACCTGGAAAATCCTAGAGGGACTAGTACCGAACTTGCACACGAAAATCACTCACTACGAAAGCAAAAGACTTGGCAGACGATGCAACATCCCCCCAGTGAAAAGCAGGGGTGTCACTAGCATGTTAAGAGACCATACAAACTATTGCCCTCTGGGTAATAGTTTGGGCAATCCCACACCTTCTCCTAATTTCCAAACTACGAATTCTCTGCATTATATTCACACCACACATTGCCCTCACACATGACATCTCCACTACCTCCAGCCTTCTCCTTCTTGCAACATTCACCACCCATGTTTCACACCCATATATGAGTGCTGTTATAACTACACTCTCATACATTCCCCTCTTTGGTTCCATGGACAAAGTTCTTTGTTTCCACAGACTCTTAAGTGCGCCACTCACCCTTTTCCCCCTCATCAATTCAATGATTCACCTCATCTTTCATAGACCCATCTGCTGACATGTCCACTCCTAAATAGTATCTGAATACATTCACCTCCTCTATACTTTCTCCCTCCAATCTGATATCCAATCTTTCGTCACCTAATTTTTTTGTTATCCTCATCACCTTACTCTTTCCTATATTCACTTTTAATTTTATTCTTTTACATACCCTACCAAACACATCCACCAACCTCTGCAGCCTCTCTTCAGAATCTTCCAAAGGCAGTGTCATTAGGAAAGAGCAACTGTGACAACTCCCACTGAGAATACAACCATAAAAACCACATGAAAATACACCGCAAAGTCGCTGTTTTAAACCAAAAATAGTTTTTTTTTCTCATTATGCACTGCGTGCTGCAGGATTTTTTTTATATGGCACACTTGCCACACAGACCCATTCTCCCATATCTAAGCCCAAATTTACCACTCACAGCTTATGTGAATGAGCTGAGCTCATGGCTTAGTACAACAGGACTGACCCTGGCTTCAAAGCAGTAGTACAACGGGACCAACCCTGAAAAGATTAAGTCACCACTTAATAACGATCCAGGACAGACCAAAATGTCATCTTAAGGTTCATCTCCAATTTATGAATTAGTTGTAAATTGTTTCAGTCATGGTATTGTTACTTTTATTCTTCAATTAATACCTTTATCTTTTTGATGAGAGGGTACTGGACAAGAACGACCACTCCACACTCCAGCTATCCACATCAGAGCATTCTGCTGTATCCCATATTTTGTGATATAACAGCCAAATGATCCTTGAAGCCATTCAACAACTGCATGATGAATTAATTCTCTACCTGAAAAAGACCTCATAATCATAAAAAAAACTAAATAAATAAATAGCTGGTATATTACACATCTGATAATCAGCATGTATGCAAAACTGAGTACCTTTGAATCTTCATATGAACAAACACTGTGTGCGCTCACGCACGCGCACACGTATGCACACGTGCACGTACACATGCACACACAGGTACACACACACACACACACACACACACACACACAACAAAACTCATGGAGACAATAACAGATGCAATCTTCCCACCAGGATACCAGATCATGAGGAAAGATAGAAGGGGCAGGGGGGGAGGTGGGGTTGCTCTGCTCGTAAAAAACAGATGGAAATTCGAGAAAATGGAAGGAATAGATGAGACGGGAGAAAGAGACTACATAGCAGGTACACTTCAGTCTGGGGAACACAAAGTGGTCATTGCAGTGATGTATAATCCACCACAGAACTGCAGGAGGCCAAGAGAGGAATATGAAGAGAGCAACAGAGCAATGGTGGACACACTTGCTGAGGTGGCAAGAAGAGCTCACTCCAGCAGAGCAAAGTTGCTGGTTATGGGGGATTTCAACCACAGGGAGATTGACTGGGAAAACCTGGAGCCACATGGGGGTCCTAAACATGGAGAGCCAGGATGTTGGACGTGGTGCTGGAAAACCTCATGCACCATGTTAAGGACACTACCAGAGTGAAGGGGAGGATGAACCACAGATTGGACCTTGTGTTCACCCTGGGCAGCTCAGACATTGAGGACATCAAGTATGAGAGTCCCCTAGGAGCTAGCGACCACGTGGTTCTGTGCTTGAATGCATAGTAGAGCTGCAAGTGGAGAGAATAACAGGAGTAGAATGGGAAAAGCCTGACTATAAAAGAGGGGACTACATAGGGTTGAAGAACTTCCTGCGGGAGGTCCAGTGGGACAGAGAACTGGCAGGAAAGCCAGTAAATGAAATGATGGAATATGTAGCAACAAAATGCAAGGAGGCAGTGGAAAGGTTCATTCCCAAGGGCAACAGTAACAAGGGAAGACCAGAACAAGCCCCTGGTTTACCCGACGGTGTAAGGAGGCAAAAACAAAGTGCAATAGAGAATGGAAAAAGTACAGAAGGCAGAGAACACACGAAAATAGGGAGATCAGTCGCAGAGCCAGGAATGAGTACGCACAGGTAAGGAGGGAGGCCCAGCGACAGTATGAAAATGACATAGCATCGAGAATCAAGACTGACCCGAAACTGTTGTATAGCCACATCAGGAGGAAGACAACAGTCAAAGACCAGGTGATCAGATTAAGGACAGAAGGTGGAGAACTCACAAGAAATGATCAGGAGGTATGTGAGGAGCTAAAACAGGAGATTTAAGGAAGTTTTTACAGTAGAGACAGGAAGGGCTGTGGGAAGACAGCACAGAAGGGAACATCAAGAGGGAATATACCAACAAGTGTTGGATGACATAAACGAACAACTGAGGAGGAGGTGAAGAAGCTCTTAAGTGACCTTGACACCTCAAAGGTGATGGGACCAGACAACATCTCCCCATGGGTCCTTAGAGAAGGAGCAGAGATGCTGTGTGTGCCTCTAACACAATCTTCAACACATCCCTTGAAACTGGGCAACTACCTGAGAAATGGAAGACAGCTAATGTAGTCCCCATATTTAAGAAAGGAAACAGAAACGAGGCACTAAACTACAGACCTGTGTCTCTGACATGTATTGTGTGCAAAGTCATGGAGAAGATTATCAGGAGGAGAGTGGTCGAACACCTGGAAAGGAACAAGATTATAAATGAAAAACCAGCATGGGTTCATGGAAGGCAAATCTTGTATCACAAACCTCCTGGAGTTTTATGACAAGGTAACAGAAGTAAGACACGAGAGAGAGGGTTGGGTAGATTGCGTTTTCCTAGACTGCAGGAAGGCCTTTGACACAGTTCCCCACAAGAGATTAGTGCAGAAGCTGGAGGATCAGGCACACGAAAAAGGGAAAGGGGCACTGCAATGGATAAGGGAATACCTGACAGGGAGGCAGCAACCGAGTCATGGTACGTGAAGAGGTATCACAGTGGGCGCCTGTTACGATCGGGGTCCCACAGGGGTCAGTTCTAGGACCAGTGCTATTTTTGATATATGTGAACGACATGATGGAAGGAATAGACTCTGAAGTATCCCTGTTCGCAGATGACGTGAAGTTGATGAGAAGAATTAAATCGGACGAGGATGAGGCAGGACTGCAAAGAGACCTGGAGAGGCTGGACATGTGGTCCAGTAACTGGCTTCTCGAATTCAATCCAGCCAAATGCAAAGTCATGAAGATTGGGGAGGGGCAAAGAAGACCGCAGACAGAGTATAGGCGAGGTGGACAAAGACTACAGACCTCACTCAGGGAGAAAGACCTTGGGGGTGACCATAACACCGAGCACATCACCGGAGGCACACATCAACCAAATAACTGCTGCAGCATACGGGCGCCTGGCAAACCTGAGAATAGCGTTCCGATGCCTTAATAAGGAATCGTTCAAGACACTGTACACTGTGTATGTTAGGCCCATACTGGAGTATGCAGCACCAGTCTGGAACCCACACCTGGTCAAGCACGTCAAGAAGTTAGAGAAAGTACAAAGGTTTCCAACAAGGCTAGTCCCAGAGCTCAAGGGAATGTTGTACGAGGAAAGGTTAAGGGAAATCGGACTGACGACACTGGAGGACAGAAGGGTCAGGGGAGACATGATAACGACATACAAGATACTGCGGGGAATAGACAAGGTGGACAGAGATAGGATGTTCCAGAGAGGGGACACAGGGACAAGGGGTCACAACTGGAAGCTGAAGACTCAGACGAGTCACAGGGACGTTAGGAAGTATTTCTTCAGTCATAGAGTTGTCAGCAAGTGGAATAGCCTAGCAAGTGAAGTAGTGGAGGCAGGAACCATACATAGTTTTAAGAAGAGGTATGACAAAGCTCAGGAAGCAGAGAGAGAGAGGATCCAGTAGCAATCAGTGAAGAGGCGGGGCCAGGAGCTGAGTCTCGACCCCTGCAACCACAATTAGGTGAGTACACACACACACACACACACATACACACATCATTATATATGCTTCTAAGCTGTTGTATCTGGGTGCCTCTGCAAAAGCAGTGATTATGTATGAGTGAGGTAAAAGTGTTGAATGATGGTGAAAACATTTTCTTTTTGGGGATTTTCTTAATTTTTAGGTCACCCTGCCTCAGTGGGAGATGGCCAACCTGTTGAAAAAAAAAAAAAAAAAAAAAAAAATATATATTGGGATATTGGCAGTTTGGAGGGATATGTTGTGTATCTTTATGTGTATGCTTCTAGACTGTTGTATTCTGAGCACCTCTGCAAAAACAGTGATAATGTGCGAGTGTGGTGAAAGTGTTGAATGATGATGAAAGTATTTTCTTTTTGGGGATTTTCTTTCTTTTTTGGGTCACCCTGCCTCGGTGGGAGACGGCCGACTTGTTGAAAAAAAAAAAAAAAAAAAATAATATATATATATATATATATACCTCTAGAACAGTCATGGGGACCCTCATCCTCAGAGTAAAGAATAAACTTGCTTCAGGGAAAACTCAAGATTCTCCCTGAAGCTGTTTGAGAATTTTCTCCTACCAACCCCCTTATTATGTATATATATTTTATTTAAAGACAAAATACATTAACGAAACATTCACAAAAATATGATACAAAGTAAAACAACATAGGTAACTCAGAGCTACATCTCGAATACTTCGTCCAGCTCCCCTGCGGTGGGCCGCGTGCCCAGAATGCTGCAGGCATTTCCTCTCTGGATCGCAACACTGAGTCTCTGAAAGAGGAAGCTGGTCGCCCTGTGGTCCTTGGTTTCTATGATGAGCTTTTCACCCAGCTCTTTGAGGAACTTTAGAGCACACTTGCCCCATGCTCCAAGGGTCTCCGACCCTATTGGAATGAAGTTATAGCAAGGGGGAAGGTCTTCATATTTTCGGATCTTCTGGGTCTCCCTGTGGCTGGCAGCTCCACCCCCAAGTAGGTGTCTGCCAATGTGGCAGCACAGGTGTAGTCCCAGGCAATCTGCTTTCCATCCTTCCAGGGTAGCATAGTGGCTCCATCAGGACGCTTTTGACTTCCATCAGACCTCTGTACTTGGGGTTCCCGTTGAGCTGGGCAACGGGCTGTGGCGAGGCTTCTCTTTATTATGTCATTGATCTCCTCATGTCTGGCATACTTCCCTTCTGCTGTGTGACACACGAGACCATGGAGTCCGAATTGATCAGCTGTCGCCCTGCCGCAAATACACCTATGTTCGGTGAGGATGGGGGCGGCTAGGCGAAGAGCAACACCAATCCGAATGGCCTGTGGGTCGAGACGGGTGCCCAGGGAGGAATTGGGAACAGCTAACAGGAAATCTCCTGAGTGTGGTGCCTTCACTGCCAGGAGACGAGCTTTGTTCTTTCCTGAAGCAAATTTGGGGAGCATTGTATATATATATATATATATACATATATATATATTTTTTTTTTCAACAAGTATATGTATATGTATATGTATATGTGGAGTCAAAAAACGTTATCTATGGAGGCAAAGAAGGGAATGTATGAAAGTATAGTAGTACCAACACTCTTATATGGGTGTGAAGCTTGGGTGGTAAATGCAGCAGCGAGGAGACGGTTGGAGGCAGTGGAGATGTCCTGTTTAAGGGCAATGTGTGGTGTAAATATTATGCAGAAAATTCGGAGTGTGGAAATTAGGAGAAGGTGTGGAGTTAATAAAAGTATTAGTCAGAGGGCAGAAGAGGGGTTGTTGAGGTGGTTTGGTCATTTAGAGAGAATGGATCAAAGTAGAATGACATGGAAAGCATATAAATCTATAGGGGAAGGAAGGCGGGGTAGGGGTCGTCCTCGAAAGGGTTGGAGAGAGGGGGTAAAGGAGGTTTTGTGGGCAAGGGGCTTGGACTTCCAGCAAGCGTGCGTGAGCGTGTTAGATAGGAGTGAATGGAGACGAATGGTACTT